ACACACACACACACACACACACACACACACACACACACACACACACACAGAGTCAAAGAAGGTCCACGTCATTAGCAGGAAAGAGTGCAGAGGGTCTGGGATGAGTGGTGGGGAGACAGGGATACTTTTGCTCCCAGTTTGAAGGAACTGTTTGCCAAACAAATAAGTTAATAGTTTTTCCACGCCTGCATTGTTTTAACAAATGTTTTCCTTCAGCAAAATAATGCATTGTAGAAAATGCAGATAAACAAATGGGTGTGTAAAGAAGTAAAGAAAAGCCTAGCCTAGACATACCCAAAATCCCTGCCATGAAGATAACTGCAGTTAATTTAACTATTGTTAAACTGGATACTGTAGAACGATGCTTGCAACCATTTAAGTACACAAGTTCCATTCCCAGCATCCACATGGTGACTCGCAATCATCTGTAACTGCAGTTCCAGGGGATGAGTCTGTCCTCCATAGGCAATGCATGTTTGTGGTACACAGATATGCATGCAGGTAACACACACACACACATTTAATAGATATATTAAATATATAAATAGATAATTAAAAAATCAGTTAAGGCGGGGAAGAGGTGGAAATCTTTAATTAAAAAAAAATCAGTTAAGATCCAGGTATGTTGGTTCATGCATTTGGGGATAAAGATGGAAGACTCAGAGGTTTAATGCCATCCTCTGGTACATAACTGAGTTTGAGCTAGTCTAGGCTCTCTGAGATGCAACAAACAAACAAAAAACAAAAAAGAAGAAAAAAAGGAAGAAAGACAGACCGACCAAAGGGGTAAAAACAAATATGTTAAAAAATATAGTATTCAGGGCTGACAAGAAGGTTCAGTGGATAAATGCACATGTTGCCAAGGCTGATGGCCTGAAATCAGGAGAGAATCAACTCCCACAGTAGTTTTCTAACCCGGCACACGTGTGCACACAAACACATAAACATACACACAAACACAAATAAAATTATTTTAAAAATTATATTTAGTTGGTCCTAAGTTTTTTGTTTATGAAGGAAATAAACTGGGGGTCCCCACCAGGATCCCAGAGCAGGCCACGCTGTGAAGGTGGCCATCACGGTGGGTAGTACTCACGGCCAGCTTCTCCTTGACCACACTGGCTGTGGCTGCTATGGTGCAGGCTGTGTCATGTTGTACGACCTGGGTAAATTCTGTCAGGTCCCGCTTCATGAACTCCAAAGCTTCAGTGGACTATGAAAGACAGAGAAGGACAGAGCTGGCAGGCGCCATCACTCCACATGTCTGCTTCAGCATGTGAAATGTCAGGTGACAGAGGAGCCAGGGTTTGGGAATAATGCTTACTTGTCCCAATTCCCTGACCTGGATTAGCTGGCAGCGGCGGAGAGGGAAACGCCTGCTCTTTAGTGTAAGGACTGAGTTTCAGCCCAGGCACTCAGAAACTATGTCCCAGGAGTGAGCCTCATTTAGTCACTGTTGCTCTCCTATCAATGACCTTGAAAGCAGAGTGGCAAGTAGAAGAACACACACCTATTCTCCAAACAGACTGAAAACTTGCTTTGATGTAAGTCCTATCTGATTGAAATTTCCATTATAATAAAAGGTATGTGACTTATTATTTTTTAATTAAAAATATTTTTGAGACAGTGTCTGACTTTATCCCTGGCTGACCTGGAACTCTCTATATAGACCAGGCTGACTTGATAGAAATCCACCTGCCTCTGTCTTCCAAGTGCTAGGATTACAGGCACCACCCATGCAGGCAATAAGGATGGATGTGTTTTGTTTTGTTTTGTTTTTTAATTCCAAGGAAGGATGGATTCTCCCTCAGTCTTGGTCCCACTGCTCCAGGTTCTGTCTATCCATTAAGTTTCTTTGGACTGAATGGTATTTGCTCCTGTCCAACCAACCTGTTTCAGAGCTAGCTTGAGCCAGCTGGTCCTCAGCTGCCTTCTATGTCTGTGTTGCTTATATCACGTTCACCAACTTCAAGATGACCTCCTGAACCACCTGTGCTCACCCCACTTTGCAAGTCCCCTCATTTTACATGGATCAATCACCAGAAATTTTGCTTTGAGAAGGTTTCACTATGTTGGCTGATCTTTCTACCTCCACCTCCCTCCCAAGACTGCATATCATGCCCAGATTACAGATCTGCACCTTCATGCCCAGCCAAAGCATGTTTTGAGTGTCCTGTTTTTGTTTTTCCTGTGATGGGGCTGCCTACTTTTCATTGCCCTGACATAAGTGTGAGCAGACAGTGGGGAGCCATTGAAGGACTGAAGCAGGAAGGACATGCTGAGACCATCCTGGAACTAGCTCTGCACGTCAGGCTGACCTCAAACTCATTCATAGAGATGTGCCTGCCTCTGACTCCCGAGTGCTGGCATTAAAGCTGTGCACGTTTTCATTTTTAATATGTTACATTAGTGACTGGCGTAGTTTTAGGCATTCAGAGTCAAGGTGGCCATAGGATATCTGGGTAGTTGTCCAGTAAGAGCTATCCTTAAGTACCAAAGACTCTAGGAAAAGAAAGAAGACTAATTCCCATGGGGAGGGAACCCACAGTAAGAGTCTGCAGACTACCCATAGCTGCGAGCTAAGGACAAAGAGCCTCAGAGCCCCATCTTTAATCAGCAGGCAGAGAAACATGAGCTCAACAGAGTTAAGTTTCAAAACAGGGTGGGGAAGGGCACATAGTAGTGTCAAGTGCTGTAGAAAGTTCCAGAAAGATAAGCTGGCAAGTGAGAAACGTGCGTGACTACTGATAAGTGTGTGTGGTGGCTTCAGGGGTTGGGAGGGGGTGAATCGTTGACCTCCTATTTTCTAAAGTCTGTGAAGACAAGGGGAGGAGAAAAGTATGAGAATGAAAGGTTTACTGGGGAGTGCCCTAGACCCTGTTAGAGCGGGGCCGATGCAACCGTGCCTTTCTAGAGCACCCAGACACTGTTAAGAGTGGGGAGAGACATAACCGTGGTGTCTTCTCTAACACTGTGTCTCAGTGTGCACTTGGATGAACAATATAGACGGACAAGAAGTTCAGGATGGGAGCAGAAGGCATATTATTGGACCATCTCAGAGTTGTAGGCTCTGGACAATGAAGGTTAAGGGAGCAGAGAAGTGACTGATCCAAAAGGAGCCAGGATGAGAAGCAAGAGCAAGGAAAGCAGCAAAAGAGCAAGAAAAAGGTAGAAGGAAAAAAATGGTGATGCTGTCTAAGCTTTACTTACAGTCCTCAATAAAAACAATGAATGCTTGCATGTTCTTAAGTGCTACATATGCTCCTTAGGGCTCTCTATATCATTTAATCCTCATGACAACCCATTAGACAGGTATTATTACTTCACTTTACCCATTAGACAGGTATTATTAACCAGCGTAGAAAGGCTAAAAGACTGGCCAAAGTCAAATATGGTGGTTTGTGCCTTTAATTCCAATGCTCCAGTGGCAGGTGGATCTCTGAGTTTGAGGCCAGTCTGGTCTACACATGCATTCCAAAGTGGCCACGGGCTACATAACCAATCAGACCACCTCAAAACAAACAAACAAAAAGATGAGTTGCCCAAGTTCCCATAAAGGTAAGTAACTAAATTCAGTCTTCTCTGAGAGGAGCCTCAAAACACACAGGAAGACATCCTGTACCGCCCGCTGAATGAATTGCCACACTTTCCTTGCTGGAGCACGCTATTTTGAGATCTCATGATAAATTTTAGTGAAAAGTCCCCCCTCTTCAACACAACAAACAGCTCAGGAAATGCTCAGCTGTGCTGGGTGGTAGCTTGAGCGACTATCCAGCAGTACCCAGGTCAGGGAAGGTAAAAAACAAAAAAAACAGAAATCGCTCCTAAAGTACTGGGCTGCTTGGGGATCAGAAGCCTCCTGGAGTCTGCCCTAAAGCAGGACTCAGTTCATTTGCTTGGGGTAAATAGTAATTAGTTTTTTCACAACTTAGTTGGGCTGGTTTTAAATAAAGTAACATGGGACAAAACAGGAGTAGCCACTGACACGGCCTATCCAGGGACAAGCATCACTCCCTTCACAGGGATTACTTCGCCAGTCATTTCCCCGAGTCCCCACTCTCTGACCATCCCAAACCTCTCACTCAGACAGGGCTCACCAGGCACCAGTGTGTCTGCGATCCTCATCTCTACCTGGTTCCGGCTCTTCACCTTCTCTGTTACACCTTCCCGGGCATGCTCACGACTCCCCAGTCTGGACAAGATGTCAGGTACCTTCCTATCACCGTATTTACAAAAGCAACTAAGCGGCTATTATGTTCGGCTGCCCGCCCGCCACAGGACTGAGCTTTGTGAGGCCCAAGTTCGGGCTAAGGTCTGTACCTTCCCGGGCTGTCTTGAGAGTAGCAATTGTCATATACTCTAATATTTAAATTGCTGTAGGGGTAAGGTGTTGCTAGTGGTGGCGTCTCATCCTTTTCTTCCAACTGGCCTCCCAGACGCTTGAAAAACCCAGGCAGGGCTAACTGGATCCGGTTGCAAGGAGACAGAGGAGGGTGCCGGCCCGGCTTACCTTTTCTTTGACTGCCTGGTAACTCTGCTGCAGCCAGCTCCGCCACCACCCCACGTCCTCCCTGTGGAAGACAAGACACATCTGGAGGCCCCGCAGTGTGGTGAGGCCTGCGGGCCGTTTACCTACCCCCTCGCACCACGCCTCCGCTCTGCCCTTTCAGCTCGGTCCGCAACCGCGCGGGCGGCCTGTCCCCTACAGGGATCCTGGCCCACCATCCCAACCCTGGGAGAATCTAGGCCCCCGACGTCAAAGGGAGGAACGACAGGCTCACCCTTCCGCCATCTTGCCTGCATGACATCACCACTATTTACCGACCTTTGACTTCCGACACGGCACCGCCCCTTCAGGCTCCGCCCCCAAGCGCGCGCCCCAATCCTCGTCCAAAGCCCAGCCCTCCGCCCAATCCCCGCCCCCTCCTTCAATGTGCCCCGCCTCTGTCTAATCCGAGTCTCAAATTTGATCTTTAGCTCCGCCTCTGAACTCTCGATCCAATCCTATTCAAGTTTGCCCTCGGGTCCCACCCACCAACTTCTAGCTCTCCCGGGAGCCCCTGACTACAGTGGCCCCTCTGGGCCAAGTTCCTCAGGCTTTCTAGATCGCGGATTGGAAGTAGGGAGAAAAGGGGAGGGCTGGGCTCGAACGTCGAACGCTGGGCTAGGACCGCTCCCCTTTGTGAAACCCGCTGCCTAGCAGCTGCTCTGTGTTCTGTTCCGGGCTAGTTCAGCAAGCACGGGCTGCGGGGCTCTGAGCCAGAGTTTGGAGGGTTGGGAAAACTATGAGGTTACTTCAGGTTATCCTCTGGTTATCCAGTATCATCTGGAGAGGCAGATACGCATTCAGTTGTCACAACTTTCGGTGGCCTAACTTAAGATGTGAGCTGAAAGTGTTCTGGAAGAATCCTGAGATCGACTGATAGAGGGGAATTGAGGTCTACTGAATTGTGGAAGGGGGATTCCGTAGATCCTATGGCCCTACCCACTACTTCAATCTACAGAAGTCCCACCCTCATCCCAAAACGAATTTGCCGCCCCTCCTGGAAGGATGCCCCTTATCTAAAGTCACCTCTGCCGCTTTTCTGCGTAAGGATCAAGCTATGCTAATTCTCCCTAGTGCCGCCTATCTAACGAGAGAGAGATTTTGTTGTTATTTTTTCTATCTTAAAAAAAAAAAAGCAAAAAAAAATTTTTTTCGGGACAGGGCTTCACGTGCCAGGACCAGCTCGGAACTTGTGTAGTCTAGCCGACTTCCAAGTCTATTCTGCCTCAGTTTCCTCGGTGCTAGGATTAAAGGTGTGCACCATTGTGTCTGGTTTAAGAAACGACCACCACACTATTTGCCTGCTTCTCCATAGTGGAAAGACTCTTGACTTAATTATTCATTGTCTCCCATTTCTTTTATTATACTTTGAATTTCTCTCAGTCAGGTTTTTGGTTTGTTTGTTTTTTTCCTTCTCACCATCCACTGACGGAAGTTTTGTCAGACTCCAAAAACGATGGAGTCTGTTGTTTTCCATTTTTCTGTCCTCTTACTTGAACCATTAATATATTACATGACTCAGTTATCCATTTCCTCCTTTCCCAAAGACTGACTCCTAGGGGCTTTCAGGACACGGAGCCCTCCTGACCAGTCCTCTGGACATCTCTTCCACATAGATTTTTGTTTCTTGCTTCTTGAAAGTTCAAGAGCCCAGTCCTTGGGTCTCTTTTTCCAAAGTATAATCAATCCTCCGGTGACCGCAAGTCTCAAGATTTTAAAAGCCACCTGCAACTATGAGGTTCTTTCGGCATCCAATTATCTCCTCAAAACACCAGGTTCTTTACATCTACTAGATGTTTAATGAGCATATTAAATGTCACATGTCCCAGCACAAACTTCTGGTGTGTCCACCTGAACCCCGTCTATACATGGCAGCCTCCTTTCTCCAGTTGCTCAAGCCAATTATCTTCGATTCCTCCCTTGCAGTGCAGTCGGCTCCTCCTTTAAAACAAAGGCAGAACCCAGTCACTTCCTCTGCTGCCATGGAGACGCGAAACCGCCTTCATTTGTCGCGGTGCCAAGTACCGCTTAGCTGGGAGAGCCTGGACCGGCCCTGGGCTTCCCTTGATCCAGTGCGGCTGTCCATGGAACCCTTAGTCTCGGAGAGTGACTGACACAGCTGCTTTTGTGATAATGCAAGCATTTCCTCAAAATATCACTGTATGACCTCGCAATTCTCCTGGGCATAGACCCCAGAGAACTGAAAGCAGAAACTTCAACAGATAAACACCCATGATCATAGACACGCCATTTGCAATAACCAAAACATGAAAGAAACCCAAGGTTTTGTTGGCGGGTGAATGGATAAATAAAATATGAATATGTAAAAGAATATTACCCCTTCTTAAAGAGATTCCAACACATGCTATAGCATGGGTGCACCTTGACGATGTTATGCGAAGCAGAATAAAGCAGACACACACAAAAGGATAGCTATTGCATGACTTTCATTTAAGGGAAGCACTTGAACTAGTCACATTCAGAGAAAGAAAGTAGACGGTGGAGTAGAAGGACTGGGGGAGAAGAGAAAACAGAGCTTCAGTTCAGGAAGATGAAAATGCTAGGTGGGTAGGGGCGGCCGCATGGCAATGTGAACACCCCACGCTGTGGGATTAATTCAGCTCACAGATCAAACAAAATGGTTAAGGGGGTTTGTATGTGTGTGTGGGTTTTTTGTTGTGTGTTTTTATTTCTGTTTTTCTGACTAGAGGATTTAACCCGAGGTATTGTGAGCGCTAGGCAAGCTTTCCATCAGTGAGTCCCATCCCCAGTCCTGAAGTGGTCCCTTGTGTTACCTTACATACAAATATATGTCAGTCAGATCTCCACCTCCCTCCTCCCACAGTCTTCCAGTGTCTTCCAAAAGGCATCATCTGTTCACAGGAAGAGCCTGTGCACATCTGCATTTTCCTCCTGCCCCCCTGTACTCCCAGGCTGATCTGACCTTGCATAGATGCCCTTGTTGGACAAACTGCTCCATAAACATTGGCCAGTTTGAGTTCCCTGAAATTTTCTGGTGCTTTCCTGACCTTTGAATTTTTCTTTCTGCTTAGAATGTTCTTATCTCACCTTCCTACCCACTCTGACCATTTTATGGGAAACTGAAGCTTGTGTCTGAGTACAGAACACACCTTTAGTACTGGCACTTGGAGGCAAAGGCAGGTAGATAGATTTCTATGAGTTTGAGGCCAGACGGGTTTACATAGAGTTCAGACAAAAACAGTACCACCCAAACTAAACGACTCACGCTTACATCGCTCACATCCCCAGTACCGCCATCTTTCTTCCCTGCTTTATTCTTTTCCCCAAATCAACCACCCTAGAGGATAGTGTCTATATATTTTTAAAGACATTACCTGCCTCTTCTGTGTAGTAATGTGGTTTCCATGAAGACAGAACTTTCTGTCTGTCTTGGCTGCCTGTCCGTTCTCCAGCGCCTAGAACAGTGCCTGGTGTGCGATCCACACGCAATGGTTGTCGAGTGGATGGAAGAATGTGCGCTGTGAAAGTGTGGACAAAGACAAGGCTGCTGGGGAACACTCTGCAGCAGCTGACTGGGGAGGAGAGAGACGGAGGTGCCCCAGCAAAGGCTGTTAGCACCTGAGACTTCTGGACATGAGGAGAGTTGGCAGAATGGTTTTTAGTTTTCTGGAGCTGGGGTACAGAACCAGGGGCCTCAAATGTGCCAGACAAGTGCTCTCCCCTGACCGCACGTCCTTCTTACCTGTGTGACATCACCAAAAGCTTTGTTTGATGTTTATTTTTGTTTCTGAATTTTGTCTTTTAAGTCAGGCTCTGTGGGGACTGGAGAGATGGCTCCACAGTTCTCTCAGAAGATCTAATTCCTAGTGTTGGGGACCAGCCTCGACAAAAATGCCCCTTGCCAGGGTAGAGCCATGGGGATTTAGAAAATATTAGTAAAGAATAGGAAGATGTGAATGAGAATAATAAAACAGAGAAATGTATAATAGTATCGGGAGGGAATTCCAGTGAGTACTGAGATTCACCCGCATTTAATTTCCTACTGCTTAAAATACCCTGACCCCAAAAGGTAGGAGTAAGAAAAAAACCAAAAAACAAACAAACAAAAAAACTACATTAACATGATACGAGGAAAGGAACATACCAATTGAAAACTGCGGGTTACACCCATAGTTAAACATCCTGGTGCTAGAACAAGTCACACTCACACCCTAGACCAAAACATTCTATCGGCAAACCACTCCCTGGATGGGATCCAAAGTTATCTCCTTAAGGGAACTGGGACTTAGTTGGATCCTTAGACTTTTGTTTGAGGTAGGAACAGATCTACTTCCCTATTCCTGGAGTACAAGGTCTGGTTATTAGTCACACTTGTTGACAAGAACCTTGAGAGAGCAGAACTCTCTGGTCTAAATCTAGGTGGGACCTGTGTTTGAAGTAGAAGCACAATAACCTTGAAGGAACTGGAGGTAGGTTCCAATTCTCTAACCTTTGGTCAGTGTGGAAATAGGCTCACATTTTCCTCCACATCCTAGAATCCACATGATGGCCCACAACCTGGATAATTCCAGTTCTAAGAGATCCAAGGGTTCCTTCTGGCTTCTGCAAGCACAAAGTGTAATGGTCTGTCCTGCCTTTAAGAGACAAGTCCCACTCACTCCCTCCCCAGTCCAGGCAGGCAGATCTTCCTTCTGCTTCTAGAGAGCCTGAGCTCTCTTCCTTTCCGTCTCTCTCCCAAAGAGGTTGCTGCTGCCGTGGCTCGTCTCTGCCCCCCTTCCTTCCTCCCTTGTTCTCCTTCTCCCTCCCTCTCCCCTTCCCTTCCATAACCCACTAAATAAATATCCAACCTCACTCTGTACGGCATGCCTATCCAACTCTCTGTCTCTCCTTGTGGGACTGGCTGCCCCACTGAGGTCAGCCACTTGGGGAACAGTGCCAGTTTAACTTAAATCACAACACAAAGCACTTGCATAAGCTCACACATACATTCACGCAAGCAAAATACACAGAAGGTAAAAATGTTTCTTTTCTTTTCTTTTCTTTTTTTTTTAAAGATAGGGTCTTGCTGTATAGCTGGCTCCAAGCTCGCTGTGCAGCCTAGGCTGTCCTGAAATGCGTCGCCCCGCCTTCAAAACAAAACCAGCATTGAGTCACTTTTTACCACCCCTGCAACTCCTGTGTAGACCCAAGGTTAATTGTAAGAGCCACACAAATTCTGGGATTATAGATGTGCACCATCAGATAAGAAGATTGTTTGTGCAGAGTGGCATACACCATTAATTTCAGCACTCAGAAGGCAGAGGCAG